CTCCTCCCGTGATCCCACCCCTCTTATCTATAGCCAGTGTAGGTTCAACATGAGCAACTTATGCCCTCCTCCCCCAGTGTTTCGTTCTTTAAAACTGTCCTTAGCTCTTGGCCTGCTGACATTTGTCCAACTTCTATAGCACTTAGTCCAGCTGACAGTCGCCTGCAGAAACTTGTCCTAGGACCCAGTCCTGTTTCTGTCTGGCATCGGTAATAGCTGGGTAAATCCTTTTATTTCAAACAATCCTCCATCTCAGGAGTTCTGGCTTAACACTGGGAGCATTAGTATATTTAATTTTAATGAGAACTCTACAAGGAAAGACTATTATTACTTTCTCGTACAGATCAGGAAACTAAGACATTAACATTTGAGACCCCAAATAAACATTGAATGAGCCTGTGTAACCAAGGGGAAACCTACATAAGCCTTTTAGTTTCATTTATTTTTAGTTGACTTTAAAAATCCCTTACTTTGACATTGACACAGCTGAGCAATATATTATTAGTCTCCCACTAGCTCTGCTGTAGATGTCATCATAACCCACATGTGAGAGGTTAACAGTTGCATGGAATATTTGTCAGGGACTTAAAGCCCAGTTTTGGCTACACTATAGCCAGAAATAGCTAAATTAATTTTTAATCAATTCTGCTATTCTTAAACTTTTCCCTTTTACTTGAAGTATTGATAAGGAGAAAAAATAAGTTTCTGAGTCTTTTACACATTGTTTACCTAAACTTTTTCATAGAAGCGCCTAAGGACATTCCACCTGAGTTCATCCAATCTCCCACAGCACACACCTTACATATACACTATACCTCCCATTCTGAAGCATAACACACACTGCTTTCTGTGTGTTTAAAGAGTGAGCTAATGGATTTGAATATGCAGATTAAGTGAAGGTATCTGTCCTGATAAACATACAAGTAAACAATTAAAAAGTGTGTTAAACTGAGCATAGTGGTGCACATCTGTAATCCCAGGTACTTGGCAGAAGGATTAAAAGCTCAAGGCTGGCCTGGGCAACTTAGCAAGACTGTCTGAAAATGAATAAAAGGGATGGGGCCAGAAAAAGACAGGTGGAGGAGAGCCTGTGTATTACAGGCAGGGAGGAACATCTGACTCCTCTAAAGTGTAAGAAAGTGTCACTGGCTAGTGTGGATTCTTAGTCACATTTAAGATGGAAATCAGATGTGGGCTGATTCTTGAGCCTGGAGGTGGCTATCAAGCCACCTGCCCTCTTCTTCAGGGCCCTCTAGAGCAGACAGCTTCCAAAATGTTATTAATCAGCTGAAGACTCTTGCTCAATTTGTAAACAAATCACAAATTTGCACAGTGTACCTCCTTTGTTGTTAACAGTGCTGGGCTTTGAATGCCAATGGGTGATGGTGGCTCTTCTACCACCATTGTTGGCGTTAGCAGCCCTCCTTGTTGCTTGAAGCAGGCAGCTACCAGCATGCCTCAGGAATCGTTGGCCACTGGACACGGCAGCTCCTGGCATTTCACTTCCCTGTCATACTCTGGATAATTGTCTTTCATGTCACCACCTCCAGCTACTGGCTGCTTTTTTGGTGCCTTTGGTGTTACCAGTTCCTGGTGTTATCAGTTCAGCAGGCTCTACTCAAGATAGAAATCACAAATAGGCAAAAATATGCCATCTAGAGGGGTCTTTGTTAGTACTTTTGCTGTAGCATAAAAAGAAACAGTGCATGGACTGAAACCACTAAGTTTATGGGGAGGTTGCTTTATAAAGGACAAAGGCAGGCTCCTGCATGCACATTATCAGACTGATTGGTCATGGGTAAGGGCAAGGCCTACAGAGGGGTGGAATCACTCAAAGACTCCAGGGTACAGTCACCTAGGATAAGATTGCCTCAGAAGCCTGACACAGCCAAAGCAACTGGAGCAGCTGTGGGTTGGTTGCAAGATGTTTGGGGCAGCTGAGGAAAAATAAAAACTACCTCTTGAGGATCATTTAACTCTTCTGTCTCAAGGGTTAACAGAGAAGCTTTCTTGAGAGGTGACCCTTGCATTCTATGTCAAGGAAGGGAATATGTAGTTCACCAGGCACACAAGCAAAGGAAAGCTCTTGAGAACTACCATGTAGAAAAGCACGAGAATACATAAAATCTGGGCAACTCTAGCAGTAGTCCAATGTAGCCCATGTCCAGGCTACGTGTGGTGTTAAAAGATAGTTTTCAAAAAGATAAAATCATGGTTCTTATATAGATGTAAAAATAAAATATGTTAAAGATTCTATTTCTCTCATCAGGCAGATTTTGTAACCACTGGTTCAAAGGATAGATCTGAAGAATGAACAAATCTATAAATCATCAATATTGAAATGAAAATGAAGGCCAAAGTGTAGAATGTGAAATTTAAACGGATGTGGAATGGAACCTTCTTCCACAGTGGGGAACTGAAGTCAGTTAAACTTATACTGGATAAAATGTGCATGTCCATAGACATACACCACCTACAGAGATGTTCAAACAGCTTCCCTAAATCAGGAACAGATAATTGGGTGACTTCAATGCTTACTTTTCCACTGAAATACAAATTTTCCCCTACAATAGCAGTAAGGCAAAACTTGTTAAATATCCAAGGGCCTCATCAGACAGGATCTCAAATAACACACTGAGTTGGAATTGTTAGTTCTAGACTTTGAGTAAAGGAGGTTCATTAAGCTGAGTGTCAGGATCCTTGCATTGGAGAGGCAGGGCCTAGCAGCAGGTGAAGCTGGGCGAAAATTGCACAAAGACGGACTCTTAAATAAAAATGTAGGAAGCCGATGCAATAAATCAAAGTCTGAAGGTGAGAGCCATAGTCATGACAGAGAGGAAAAGTGGCTGGCAAAACAGAATGCAGCTGATCTAGTGAAGATGCACCTGAGAGCTTAAGTGGACATAAGAGTATTTCACAGTATCTAGATTCTAGTTCAACTCACTGGGTGGCTGCTGCCATATCCATCAACATCAGAGGTGCAACCTTGAGCAAAGACCAGCGAACTCGTGCCCCTTGAGTATCTGTGTGGACATATCGGGAAGAAAGCTGGAGGAGGGGGGCCCAGGCGCCTAAAAGTGCAATCAGAAGCCACTGGTCACCAGTGTGCTTCCTGAGCAAGCAAGGCTCGAGGAAACTCGCCGGCGAGGCAGCAGCCACCTTGCAGTGCCCTCTCGGGAGCCCACACGGGCCAAAGAAGGCTGGACCTTAGCTGGCCTCCGCAGGCCCCACTTCCGCTTCCAGCTCACGCCCCACCCCGACCACTTCCGCTTCCGGCGTTGGGCCTCGCCCATCCGTGAGCCGGAGAGGCCCTCGCGCGTTGGCGGCTGCGAGTTCCTGTGGCCTAACATGCGGCGGCCACGGCCTCCTGCGGGCCCCACGTCCGCCCAGGGGCGAGAAGGCAACGCGCTAGGCCTGAGGAAGCGTGGCCGCTGGCCTGCGCCTGGGCCTAGCGAGGAGAGCGGCCGTGGCCCCAGGCCCGTGGGGTTCGAAGAGCGCAGGCGGAAGAGGATAGTGGCGGCGCCGGCGTCCGCGGGGCCTGAGGTGGAAGGTGACGAGGCGGGGCAGCGGCGGGGCGGCAGCAGGTGGCCCCGGTGGACCCCGGGCGAGCCCAGCTTCCGGATGCAGGGCGGCGAGGGAGGTGGCTGGCCCCTTGCAGACCGGAAGTGCGGCTGGAGAGCTCCGGCCCAGACTGGTTTCACAAGCCGTAGCCTAGCTGTGCACCTGTGAGGCGTTGTCAGTGCACGCGGTTAGCCCAGAGGGGCAGGTGGGAAGTGGGAGGATTTACCTCGAAGAGGTTTGTGCATTGATGGTTCCCGTCGAAGAAATTCCTGCTAGCGGTCCATTTTAACTGGTGTGAAATGATGCTGCCAGGGATTTTTCCGCTGCTTTAGAATTTAATCAGGTCTGTGTGTAGTTCCTTAATAGACATTAGGTCTATCATTTAAAAAAAGGGTGTGCACTGTTTGATAAAACGCATGATGAATATACTGCTATAGAAGACGTTACCGTGAATCCTGCGCAAATTGCCCCTCCCTTCAAACACTAATCTCATCAATTTTGCTACTTTCTGAAGCAGTTCTGAAAGTCCTTTTTTTCTGAGTGTGTTTAGTTGTGCTGTCAGCTGCCTCGATGCCCTGAATGGATTCAAAACATCAACCTTTCATGATTATTTTGACTTTAGGGAAGTCTGAGAAGTTGCATGGTAGCAGATCTGGTGAATAAATACAGTTTTTACGACCTTACCTTTCCACTGGATGGTAATTGACTGCTGCATTCACTATATATTTTTAATCCTGCCTGATAAAGACACTCATGAGGGGCCGGGATTTAGCTCAGTGGTTCCACCACCTGCCTCGAAAGCGCAAGGTCCTGAGGTTGATCCCCGGTAGCAAAAAAAAAAAAAA